GTCCAGTTGTGAGGATTTTTGTTTTCTTTATGTTGAGATGTAATCCATACTGCAGACTGTATTCTTCAACTTTCATCCATCAACTGCTCATATGCAAATTCAACTTGAAGTTAAAGACAATTAAAACAAGTCCAAGAGAGCTTAGGATAGGTTTAGTTTCCAAACTTTTAGTTATTTGAATGAAACATATATACTGAATTATGGCTGGCAAAGAACACTGAATATACTATGGACTGCCAGAAGAATGAATAATTCTGTCTTGGAAGAAGTAAAGCCAGAATGCTCCTTAGAAGTGAGGATGGTAAGACTGTATATATTTATACTTATGCATATATAGATGTATGCATGTATATATATATATTCTGAAATATGTGGAGTTCTGAGATAGAATTTCCCATTTCTAGTTTGATCATACCTTTCACATCTTCATCCTCAATTGTTGTATTTGAACTCTCAGTTGATTCCTGTTGAGAAGAAAACACATTTAAGTTGAAAACAATGAAGAGTTTGGTTTCTTCTTCTTAAAATAAATAAAAATATAGTTACTGATGTACATATCATGCAAAATTCTGAAGCAGGCTTTGTGCATATGCTAACATGCAAATGAACAAATACATTACGTGGCTTAAACAGAAATGAAATGTCAAAATGGTGCACACATTGCAAAAGGAGTACTCTGGTTGCCTAATCTCTAAAGCCATATGATTCTAGGCAATTTGTAGAAGCAGCAGAAGAATGCAATTTATTTTAAAAACTGTAGGAACGTGTTTATGTTAGTGTGCCTGTAAGATGTGTTTTTCTGTATATTTATGAGAAACTGAATATATTAACTTAATGAATATTCATTACTCATTGCAGTCAAGTCAATTCTGACTTGTAGAGACCCTCTAGGGCAGATTAGAACTGCTCCATAGGGTTTCCAAAGCTATAAATCTTTACAGAAGCAGACTGCCCCATGTTTCTCCTGTGGAGCTACAGGTGAGTTTGACTGTCACCTTTTAGTTAGCAGTCGAGTGCTTAACTACTCTTAACTTAATGAATAAAAACCTTAAAATGAAGACTTTTCATTTGTAACTAATTATCAGTGTACCTTCTTTGTGTAAGGCACTACATCAAGCACTGCATTTGCAGACTCTTCTATTCCTTTGTAGAGTAAAAAGGCATTTCACTACATCATTTGATGAAGACTCTAAGGTTATTAAGCTGAGCTATGCTAACAGCATTTTTAAGAATTTTCACATTTGTGATTAGCACAACAGACTTATGATGAACAATTTACTTTTATTACTTTAGATTTTTCATTCATTTCTAAATTAGAAACTGGTTGTCACTGATAAGAACCTGCTGCCATAATGCAAAGACAAAGCTATTTCTTTGTAGAACTACAAATGAAAGTGAAATTAGTAAGCACACTTAAAAGGATATTATGACTGCCAATAATATGTTTCTTAAAATGGTTTGATGAATTTTCCCATTAATAATGTACTAATAAAATATTTTCTGGCAAAGAAATACAGTAATACTCATAAGACATAATTTTCTACTTTTTGGAATGATTAAAAGTTAGAGTTCAATGATGAAAACCAGATTTTGGGAAATGATGCAAACATGTCAATGTCCTTTTTGAGATTCAATAGTCAAAAAAAGAGATTAATTTTAACAAATATTATATATAATATTTAAAGTGATAAAATTCATTCCATTGCTGTCAAGTGAATTCTGACTCATAGCAACCCTACAGGACAGAGCAGAACTGCTTCAGAGGGTTTTCAAGGCTGTAAATCTTTACCGAAGCAGAGTGCCACATATTTCTTCCATGGGGTAGGTAGTGGGTGCTATCTGCCAACCTTTTAGTTAGCAGCAGAGTGCCACCAGGGATTATTTTAAACTAAAAGGGCAAACTAATTAAAGATGTATCCAGAGTCTCCATACACACAAAAACCAAAGAAAAGTACTCATGCATTTCTTATTGTGATCCAGTGTTCAAATATAAACTCAAGATGAAGGTAAATCCATGCACTCTAAAAATAAATTCATGTAAGCAAGAAACATCATGCAGTAACTCTTACAACTGATATATCTAGAACTATCGAAGTATCCACTCCAGCTGTTATGCTTGGTCTTTCATTTGCTAATGGTACTTAAAAATTTTGTTTCATATGTGATGGTCCTGACTACCTCAAGTCTTTTAGGGACTTAGAACATTTTAAGTGTCATGGCTATAAAATAAATAAACCTTAATGAACTTAACACTTTATGTTTTTTACTTTAACAATTTTAATATTGATTAACCTAATGTTAAACCAGAGAAACTTTTTTTCCTAAGATTTGAACATATTTGATAAGAGTAAGGAGAAAATACCCATGACTACACTTAATATTTGATAAAAACCTGATGAAGTACTTCATTCCTTTTAGAGCTATAATGTATGAGAAAAAATAAACTGGAAACATACAGTAAGAAAATGTCTTTTTTCATCCAATAGACATGTATGCAGGTACAATTATTTAACTACATGCTGTGCGATATATAGGGAATATTACACTCTTTATTCAGCATTACTCATTACAGTATTAGTTACTGAAAAGCATATAATTCAACATAAACAAACATTTCACAAGAAGTACAACTCTCTGATTCTCCTTGAAGTCATGTCAAATAACAACGTCAACAACAGAGAATTAAGAACAAAACAAAACAAAACTCTATGACAACAAAACTGAAAAGAACTCAAAAGCAATACTGAATTTAAACAAATACCTATGAACCAAGTTGACTGTTTTGAAGACAGTGGAATGATATAGTAAGAAATTCTAACATTGCATGCAGAATACATCTATAGTACAATGCACAAACATGGGTTTAAAAAAAAAAAAAAGACCAGAGAGAATCACTTAAGATACACAGTCATCTTGATATAAAGATTTTGTTAATGTTTAACCTAATTTTCCAACTTTCTTGACTAATGATACCATTCATTTGTTTTTCAAGATGTCATTCATCTTCATTTCAAAAGAAGTATGTGTAATAGTTCTAGATAAAGTAGGCCCCAAAGAAAGTGCCATAGAAAGAGAGTAAGGATTTTCTTTCCTATTTTTAGATAATGAATTAATTTTGCTTTGAATATTTGATGAGATGTGTAATCTTGTGAAAGCAGATGATGTTGATTCTTTCTGAATACCTTGTTTCCATCAGGGTTGTGGATTACAGTAGTTTGGGGCTCCTGAGTGAGAACAAAATGGAGAAAGAAACAGTTTGCATTGGTAAGTACATTCATACTAGTGTGAGGGAAAGAGCAGACTGAGCCAGTTAACACACTGAATAGTGACAAGAGCTAAAGCGATGTTAACTGCTATCAGAGCTTACAGATGGCAAGGTCTCTGATGAAAGATCTCCCAGAAAAGCCCATGAGACAGGCCACATCCCTACTCAGCAGCAGCATGCAAAAGACCTTATTCTTGATCAGCATACAGACAAGGCTTTGAAGTCTAGAGACCTAAAGAGGCACTCTCAGTTTCACAAAGTCCTATGACAGATACTGAGTTTTTCCTTCTTTAATGGGTGGACTTTTAAGGTCTCTTCCATAGAAAACTGTACTGGAGATAGAACTAGAGATAGGAAACTGGAGGTAGACTCTTTGAGAAGACTTCAAATTCTTTGTGAAGATATGTTTCAACTATATTGATTGTGGCATCATCATCATAATTAATACACAGCTGAACGTTCTGGGAAAAATCTAGAACCACTGGACCACCAAAAAAAAAAAAAAAAAGGCTATTTTAAGGAATGCATTTCAAAAGACTGTAAGAAAGTCCAAGGAACATTTAAAAAGTCCTATAACAAATGATAAAACTATTATACTTTGAAAAATATTGCTGTTGAATCCTGTGTTAATTCATATTTAAAGGAAAATTTCTGCTTTGTGAACTATACACACAGAAAATTTGGCTAAAAGTCATGTTTTTCCATGAAGAAAATATTACATTTTCTATTGTTTTCTACCTGGTAACTGCAGAAATATTCTCAAGTGGGAAATAACACTCAAACAACTGATGTAAAAAATGATTCAGAGTGCACATATCAATGACATTCTTGGCACTTTCATTACATGATTTCTTGGTGACTGGGAGTTACTGCAACCATTGGGAGTTCTCTCCCATATGCACTCTCCACCTCTGGGATCTTCCTTCTACCACAGTTTATGCTGTGCTACTCAGAAATCTATTTACTGCTTTCTTCTTTCTTTCCTGGGATACAGTTGTGATCAACATTGCTCTTTACTAGTAGATAATCTTCTGGCCACAATGACATGTCCTTCCTTAAAATGTTTTTAAGTCAAGCCCCTCCCATGTTAAATAATCCCCTAACATTTTTGATTCTCCTAACTGTACTAAGAAAAGTCAAATAATCAGAAACATTTCTCCAAATCATAAATCAATATATGGAATAGATTTTGGGAGATATTATAGAACTTAGAGTAATAATGGTAATATTCAAATTTTGAATTTTAACATAACACTGTCTCAAAGTGTTAAACTGATTTAGTTCATTTTATTTAGATCTTATTTGAACGGAAAAAAAAAAAAAACTTAGGTTCTATTGAAAATTCAAAGCTTTATGCTATGAAAATTATTTCCTTCAATTAAAGTGAAACAGTGATAAATTAATTTAAAACATAACTAACAAACAGGTTTAAATTATCCAGTGCCTCTTTATCTCAGAAAGTGAGGTCTTACAAAGCCCTGTTGACTTAAGAGAGAAATGGAAACTCTGAATAAGGTCGACTTTTATTGTTGTCTAGCAATAATCACATTAGCTCTCCTTGATGTCAACAATTGCGTCATGAAGAGAAGAAACCACTGTTTGCATAAGCTAGAGCTATCATCAGGAGAAGAGCTAAGAGCAACCAAAGCACATTCTACTGTATATCTAAGGCAGCATGCAAACAATTTCAACTACACAGACCACAACTATCAGTAAAATGCTCAACAATGAAATGAGAGAATCTTATGTTAGAAACACCCTGCTTGATAACTAACATAAACAAAAGAAAAACAGAAATAACTTTTTCATGTCTCAGAAAGCAAAAGACAAAAACCCCAACTATATATATATATATATATATATATATATATACACACACACACACACACACAAACACATACACACACACACATCTATATAGTGAAAGCAAATGAGAAAAACAACATAAAACAGTAAAAAAGTTAAGAAGGGTTACAAAGAGTCCAGGTATACCAGCGCTGGGGAAGGAATATTTTCTTTGGGGCTGGTTACCACGTTGGCTTTGTTGTTTATCTGTAGGTATGCAGAAAATAGAAACAGAGATGCCTTAAACCCCTTGGTAGCTGATGTCTCTATATGTACCCTGTCTATGTGAAGATACAGACATGAAAATAAAGAGCCATGGAAGATGAACATGAAAGACACTGTGATGAGTTACAGGAATGGTGATCACATCTAGTTTCCGATAGTCACACAGAGTCTAGGATGGTATCAGTGATGGCAGAATGATACAACAGACTTGGCTGCTTTGGCTGTGCCATCTTAGCAAACAGACAAAGAGCTGCTCCAATGGAATTCAAATCAAGTTTCAGAGTATGAAATGAATATAAACATTTTCATACTCTTCAAGTTGGATTCTGTTTCCTAGCTTCCAATTGTTCACTGTCATGAATACATTCCTTTATTCATCTTATTCTTGAGCCTAAAGTCACATATCAGCCGTCTTTCTCTGGGGATCCATCATCACTTTGATTATTAGCTATTCAATTAAAAACTTAGATCTTCTGATGAAATGCAGGCTTTATAATTATTTTTTTTAATGGTATGTCTGGGTCTCCTTTAAAAAATACATCCTAATATATAAATGGGCAAATTAAAGTCTTTACTATATTCTGAATTTAAGAGGACTTTATTTTTTCACAATTGTTTTAGCGGAAAATACCAAATTTTCTGTAAAAGTGTTACGGCTATTACTGAATAGCACAGTTGGTAACATCATTTCCTTGCTTTAGTATAATTGAGTTTGGCCTTAAAGAAAAGATCTAATGTATAAACAACTCAGAGGGTCAGTAAGTGCCATAATGTGCCCACAGAAAAAACTCATTGTAGACAAGTGGCAACTTGAAGATACAATTGACACTGGGCACTGAAGAATCAATGACTAAGAAAATAATAACATTCTTTTAAACTCATGCATGATAATTTATGTTCTAGCTACCAAACAGAAATATAAATTGGCATTCATTTTCTAGCACTATATTATCCACATTATTATTATCTAAAGTAATACATCTCTATCACTTTAATATAAATGTACTTAAGAACTTAAAGAGAATAACATACTACATAAAATAACTAGATATCAGATGAGTACTCATGAGTGATACACTAATTTAATTGACTAGGCTTTTCTTTTATATTTTACACCTATAGATCCTACTGAAACTAGCACTGATAGGAAGTCTGAAGGTGATACAAATTAATGTAGGTATATTTGTGTGATTTGTAGATATTCCAAAACAACTAAGACCCACTGCCATCAAGTTGATTCTAACTCATAGTGACCATATAGGACAGTGTACAACTGCCTCTCATCTTTCTCCCATGGAGCAGCTTGAAGGTTCCAACCACTGACCTTTTGGTTAGCAGCCAATGCTTCTAACCACCGCATCATGAGAGCTATAATGCTGTGCTCTGTGATATACAGATAGGAACTTTTTGGAGCCCTTTACTGGACAACTCTTAAATGTTAAATCCTAAATTGATATTTTGTAGACAGTTTGTTTAAAAATTTTCTTTAAATCAAAGTGCACAGAATTCAACATAAATGTTGTGCAACAGCTAAAAAGAATAAGAGATAATGAAGTTTATTAGAGAGAGATCAAAATTAAGTACTTAAGTTAGTATAGAATACATGAGAAAATGGGAAGGATGTAGACACAAATAATTTCCTATTCAGTAAGAGTGCTTGGCAAAACACAGCTGATTTCTTAGCAAATTATCTTTTTTTTTATGACTAAAACACTATATGCATTTATATGCTATATGCAGTTTATATCGGTGAATACAAAGAATCAAAGAAGTATTTTGAGATACTTTTATTTCTGTTTTGAGATAAGAGACCAGATTTTTTATAGGATTGTGATTGCCAAGAACTGCTTTATTTTAGTGAAAACGGTCCCAGTTGTACACCTATGCACACAAAGCTATCTGCACATGTGCACACACACACACACTAACACACCCCACTATATACATTCACACGCAAATGCACAGCACATACACCATCATCCTTTCCAAATGAAGACCATTCTCTCTGGATGAGCCATCCTCTATCATCAGGTATGAGAAATATGATTTAAATGAGTATGTGGCTCAACTACCATTTTCAGTCATGTTCAAATGTACAGTTAACTTTTTGTTAATGTAAAGATTAGCTTAAAAAAAAAAAACCACAATCTCACTGCCGTCGAGTCAGATCTAACTTATAGTGACCCCTCCTTGGGTTTCCGAGGTGGTATCACTACAGAAGTAGATTGCCCAACCTTCCTTCCAAGGAGTGGCTGGTGGGTTTAAACCACGAGGCTTCTGGTTAGTAGTCAAATGCCTTACACACTATGCCAGAGCTCCCAAAATAAGTTTAATGCCCCTTTTTTTTTTTTTTGGTAATATGGGGAATGTTTTGAAGGTAGTTTATAATATTAATTATTTGAAAAACAGAAGAATTTCTATAGAAGAATTTCTAAATAAAAGAGTAGAAGAACTTCTTAAGTACAGGACAAATATCAGGCATGGGTTCAACCCTAGGTCTTTTAAACATTTAAGAACCCTGGCATTTTTGTCTGTGAATGTAATTTTTTATACTATTGAAGCAGCATATTTTCTCTTTAAAAAAAATGAATCAAATAAAATACTTACATGATGAATTTTTTTATGAGGCAAGGGAAAGATACTCATTTCTCATTTTGAGGTTAATAAATATTTCTCCTCTAAAGGTGTTTAACTGGGGTGAGTTGACTGTAAGATCATTTTCACACTATTTTTAAATCTGTAAGGGTATCACAGTATATCTGAACTAAGAATAATTTCTGTTTTAGCTATCATGATCACCATTTTAAAAATAATTATATAGTGTTTCTTTACTTATCAGTAAACAGAGAGATTAGTTATGTCATGGTCCCTTTACTTTCAAAGAAAATTTTGTCCTTGTAAAAGATTAAATCTGTTGATAGCACATGGATAACGACATACTTTTTACACGTTAAAAAAAAAAATCAAGTTCAAAGAAGAATAATAAAAAGCAGAAGTGGGGTAGTATGTTTTGGTACTTGATTAACACTGACCTTTAACGGTCCTATACTTTTTTCCTCCACTTACACTAATTTAAGTAAGTAAGATCTTTTATTCTTAAGTGTGAATTTTCATAGCAGGATAAATCTGGCAGATAGAGATCCTCACCATCATCTGAACACTCGAACTGGACTTCCTTTTCTGAATTGACCAATCAAAGAGAAAGGAAAAGAAAAAAAAAAAAAAAATGACCGGTTGAATTTATAGTATCAAAGCATGGAGTACAGAATAATTTTGTATTTAAGGAGAAGCTATAAATTGCTTAGGAGAAAAAAAAAATCTGGAAATTTTTTTATATATAAGGATAGTGGTGCAGATAAATAGCTCAATAGGAACTGTGACTCTGTATCACTGAATGGTACAGAAAATCACCGGAGAATAAAACATTTGGAAAATTTAAATTACCACATTTCAACTAAAGTATTACTGGGAAAAGGGAGACATTACTTGTCATTATTGAAATCTAAACTGAATAAACTAAGCAGGAAGAACATAAAAATCACAGGCTGAGAAAAACAATTTATAAAAGGCAAAAGACATTCTAATGGGGATCACAAATGCATAGCCACCATAGCTCTGGAAATTCTCAAATTGCACACAGATATGTTGTGAAGAAATGACTGGGTATGAACATAAGAAATGACAAATGATTTTCTGTTATACTTTCAATATAAACTGACCACCTGATTTGGGGCTAAGTTCAAATATTAGAATATTAACTGATTCTCAAGAATGTTAGAAGTGTTGATGAGGAATGTATGCATCTGCCATTGGAAGAGAAAGAAAAGGATTAAAGAAATAAAACATTTAGGTGAGACTCTGCAAAGATAACACACATAATGTAAATAGAATATAACATTTGATCAAAGGTAAATTCCCAAGAAACCAAATAGAATCAAAGAAAAATATGTTGTAGTATTATTAAGTGGTATTTTTTAATGGTTTGGAAATCCAAGAAAGTCAAAATATCCTGCATGATCTTTCTTGGAATATTTTTCCAGTATTTGTTCAGTTCATTTACCTTGAATATGTCTCAATACCTTATGATAGAAATATAAGAATCATAAGACCCTGATAAATACTGCCCAGGCAGAGAAACTCAGTAATTTGAAATATGACTCCAGACTTGACTTGATTTTTTTTTTTTTTTTTAAGGCTATACATTTTAATGTCCTTCAGGACACAGTATAATTATCTGGAAAAGGATTTGGTTTTCACAGATTTTTAGGTCACTACGATAGTTTCAGGCTATAGTAAAACAGGGAAGATTTAGATTAAATTCCTACAGCAATTCTATATATGAGTATTATTTTTCATGACTATTTAATGTAATCAAATAGGAAAAAAATATATTTTCTTCATATAAATCTTAGTCATCTTTGTATATTAAATCATTTCATAATTCAGCCTATATTCTCTATCAGTAGTGATAAAAAGTACAAGTTTCAATTACTAAGAACTTATATTTAACATTTAAAAATTATCCAGCATCTGAAAGTCAGAAACAGTTTAGAAGCACCTGTTTAACCAACTTACCTTTACTCCATCTGGTTTCTTCAACAAACTCTTGGCTGCTGCAAAATGATAGTGAAATCAGTTTAGTGTGTTATTCATAGAAACTCCCAGCCAGGCAACAAAACAGGCTATTGTTTCTTTCTACCATCTCTGCAGAGTTATGGCCAACATACGCCAAGTTATCAAGGTCACACTGATGAGCACGAGCTTACAGAACATTGAAACACAGTATCACTTTTCTTGGTTTTGCCAAGTTAAATTTAGAACTAAATTTTCATTTAGTTCATCATATACAATTGAACATTTGCCAGTTGGACTTTATTTTACTCGTAGTAGAAAAGGATACTGGAACTTTAACTGGACTATGGTTTTGTAATCCAGAAAGTTGATTTCAGTCTTCAGACATCAGCTGACAAACTGTATTACATGTTCATTCACACCACAAGTATGGTGACCATGTCAGTTATGCCATCTAAGCCCCACCTTTTATTTAGTTTATTTTTTTATTGTGATTGCGTGAACATTTACAGAGCAAATGGATTTTCCAAACGGCAGTTTGTACACATTTTGTTTCACCTTCTAGAATTTTAAAACTCATTTATAAAATTTTGCTCTGCTTAATTAACATCTTAATTATATTTCTGAAATCATACAATTCCTTTTTTTACAAAAAATATTAATAATTGTATTATAAATGAAATAGTATTTTGTATTACTGACCTAGAACAATTTTTAAAAATACTTAGCATATGACCTTTCAAAAATGGCAGTGTACATTTTTATACTTCAAAATCAGATATCAAAGGCTTCACAAACAAAAGCCTTACATATTGAAAACTTTAAAATAATAAAACTTGAGACAAGATAGAAAAGAAAATAAAATCTTCAGATGAGTCAATATATTCAGAGAAATCCTAAAGCATATGGTTTTATATTAAGCTTTATTTTTCTTGAAGGAGCAGCCTTTATCATTCCTTGTTATTGAACTTGAGTATATTAAAAAGTCAGTATTTCAAAAAATATACTTATGAATGGGTACATACACAGTGAATAGATAATATAATTGTCAATAATTAGTAAACAAAGTGTAGAAAATTATGGATATGCATGACAAAGTACACACTTATGCTTCCATCTAAGGTTAATTATATATATATATACACATATATATATATGTATATGTGTGTGTGTGTGTGTATATATATACACACACACACACACACACACATGAGACTAGAATTTGGCATTTGAAATGGAAATATGTAGTTATAATAGAATTGCATGAACATGTAATTTCCTGACATCCATCTGATTTGGGACATTATTTGGTATTACTCTGATATAATTTTTCATTTATTTAACAGATAAAAAAACTGTTAATTTTATTTAGTCTTTAGGAAAAAAGCTATTAATTTATTATTCATTAAGATTTTAAGATATAGTTGCTGCAGATACAGTACTAGTTCCTAGAGCTAAAAAAGCAATATTAAATTAATCCTGTGGCAGTTAATAGGTTAGAAAGCAAACTTAGAATAACTGGAATTGCAATAGCAAGCGAAGAGAAGACAATGATTCAGGGTAAGCAGGGATTTGGCCTGAGAGATGCAGAAATGTCCCTTTTGATTACTATTCACCTTACCTCACAAGAAATACATTCCACATAAAGGGAGAAAAGAAAAAAAAAATAAAAAACAACTTTATAACCATATATTTGTGGACAAATTACTTTAAAGAGCATGTCTGGCAATGAAACAGAATGAACAAAATACTCAAAAGTAAAATGCAGTCTCAAGTACAGGATGTAAACTGGTTGTAACATTAATTCTGTTGAAGAGATGGATTTAAAAAAGAGTTTGATTTTCATGCTAAAATATTCAGAAACGATATAAAATCCACAGATTAGTCATGAGTTTTTAGTTTACATGATGATGAAAAATAAAATGTGAAGTAAACACAAAGCTTCTGTACATGGGTGCACATATTAATAAAGGCCCAGTTTATGCACAAGTGTATTTAACACTTTTAACAAAAACGTACTCTTAATTGTGAAGATTAATTTGTTACTAACAATATATGTCATATAAATCATTATTCCTTTTAGTGACTCAGTAATTATCGGGCCATAGTGAAATATTAATTTATTTCAATACAGTATTTATTAGTTAACATTTAATGAGATGGCATTGAACTCACCCATACAAATGTCAACAATATTAATCAACTGTATATAAAACAGGTAACTAGACAAAGGCAGCAACAAAGTTTTATTACACCAAACACATTAGACAAAATACATACAACCAACCAACACAGTCGCTCAATTTGTAATATTAATCATTGTGTTATTCTTGTTGTTTAATAGCTCAGTGGAGGCCTACGTAAGGCCTCCTATGGTTTCACATTATCTATAACTAAAGACAAGGTTGAGAAAGAAAGGTGAAACATTTAATAAAACTGTAAATAACTAGAAATTGGTTTACAAGTTGGAAGAACATCTGACAATGATGCAACGGATCATTACCTGATATTACTATGATACCCAGGCTAAGTAGGGACCAGTAAGTAAAATAACAAAGTGAGCAAATAGGTGGATAACTTAATGTTGCAGATCACTATTTACAAAACTAACTTAAAGTGGTACTATTCTTGGCAATAACAATTTGACTATTGTTTCAAGTATAAATGGCTAAACAAAAAGTTTAATGAGCACAGCTTTCTCACTGCTTTAGTCACCTGTCATATGTAAGACTGATTAGCATTTCCCAAACTTTGAGTTTTTGAAAGCTCACCCGTTAAGATATTCAATCAGATAGGGCTCAAAAACCCTAATAATTTCTAGAAATGACATATACTTTTGTTCCCATTTTGGAGTCACTCTCATAACAAAGGGTTTGGCTTCTTTAGCTCACTATTTAACAAGTTTTTTTTTTTAAAAAACCATGGAATCATTTTGAGGAATGTTTATTACCCCATAATATTACTGTGTGGCAGGTTCTGTGTAAATTTTTGCGTGAGATACCTTGAAAGTTGTAACAGTTTTCATAGCACACCAAGATACTGTAGAAAGAACTTAACCATAAGAGGAATGGGTATCTCAATAAGAGTTTTCTAAAATCTTGTTTATTAGGATTCCCTTTGAGAATAAGACAAAAACAGAATTCGTAGTTATTACCTTATGAAATATGAATGAATTAATTCTAGGTTCAAAATGTTGAGCTTCAAAATGAGGGACTACGTATTTGCACACCTTACACAAACCTAAGTAGTGATGACAGATGGGCTACAAGTCCTGTACTGGCACTGACTTTGGTGGAGGCTGCCTGGGGTGCTCTCATGAGAACAGTAATTAAACGAGGCTCTGAGGCGAAAGCACGCAGGTGGTTACTAATGGTAGCTACGGGTGTGGAAAGAATCCTTGCTACACATTTGCCATCACTGAATGAAAGTGTTATTCTTTATTGTTATATATATATATATTTTTTTTTTAAATTAAAAAAAAAAAAAAAGATAGCGAGGGCAGAGGATGAGGATAGAGATCTTAACGCATGTACCTGAAAAATTCCTTGTAGCCAGCATAGTTGTCAAGATGGCACCCTGTCAAAGGTGTGAGAAAAAAAAAAATTAATGTCACCTCTGAGAATCTTTGACCTAGCAAATATATATATAGTCTTTTATTACAAATATTCTCCTAGTCTTACTTTAAAAGGAGTTCTGGTGGCATAGTGTCTAAGGCATTTGACTGCTAACCAGAAGGTAGGTGGTTCAAACCTAAGAGCCACTCTGCAGAAGAAAGACTGGACAATCTACTTCTTTAAAGATTTACCACCTAGGAAGTCTTACTTTTAGGTAAGTTTTTTGTTTATTTGTTTTTCTTTCTTAGTTTCTTGAGACTCTCAGGCTTATGTCTCTCATAATGCCTGGATCGCCCTAATGTTTGTGGCCAGATTGATTATCAAAGTGCATGGATGTATCCCACTGAAGGGAGGAATCACAGCACACATTGCCACAACAATCTTAGCTTTCTCATTAGAGGTTTAATTCCACTGTATTTTCAATTTCACCCAGGATCCAGAAAACAAATAATAGGAGTATTGACATCTACACATTTAAAAGCATTTGCTAAAACTCATTTTTATCACACAGTATCTCACTTCTCTCTTAGCAAATCTACTTCCCTACAAAAATGTACAATTTCTTACTTTTAGCTTTCTTCTAGCATTAAATTTCTTCAAGCAGTCTACAGTCTCCTGTCTGTGCATCATGGAAGCAACAGTAGAACGTTGCTGGAAGAAAAGAGGGGAAAAAAATAACTTCATTGAGCATACTTATAACATCCAAAAGATGACAGTAACTTCAATCTCATCAGATCTTTATTAATGGTATCTGCACCTACATGGTCAACTTACAAGTGTTAAAACTGCAAAAGTTAATCAACAAGGAAAACAATAATTTTTGCCACGACAATTTATGACAAAGAAGCAAAATTTAGTTTATAGAAATACATGTAATTTCCTTACTTATATTTAGTGTCTTTAATCACATTTTTATTAGACTGCCTTTTGTTTCCTTTAGCACCATATTTGTTGCTACTACCTGGGACATTCATCCCTAAAAGTTTAGGAACATTCTAGATTTTTCCTCAATTTCACAGTATTTTTCTCAGCACTTCTAAAGTATATTTGACTACAGTGGTCATTCTTTTATGCTACTAAAACTCTATTTTCTGCTTCCAAACCTAACATTTGCCCTTGAAGTTGCACGAGAGATAATTGAACTTTGTCTAATTCTTTCTTCTGGAATATGTTTACTTTTTTTGGTGTCATTTTCTTAACTTCTGTTCATGAATACTGTGAATAACTGGAATGGGAAATGCTGATTCCGCACATTATAAGAGCAGTCTCTTTTTTAGCAACCTATGTAGACTGGACTTTACTACCTCAAATAACATTTTCACCCTTACAAAACTTTTGTTATGTAACTTCCATCACACACTTATTCATTCTGTAAAATTATTTTAAATCCATGAACAAAAATTCTAAAGCAGAGTTTATAGCTCGTTTTAGCTCTTGAAGTCTTTGATGAACTGTCACTTACACAGATCCATGGATGTTTCAGTGCCTCTGAGGCTGTGATACGCTTGGCAGGATTGATAGTAAGCATTTTATTGATGAGGTCTTTGGCTTCAGGAGTCACCGTGTCCCACTCCGGTGATGGAAACTTTGAAAATATAAATTTATAAAGGGTTTAAAAAGTAGATACACTCAGTAAAACTGAGTGGAAGCAAAAATATTAATCATTTAAGTAGTATATTTATTCACACATTTATTTTTGGTATAAGTTAAATTACATAGAAATATAGAGAAACCAATAGAGATATGACCCCCAAATATATCTATACAAATATATTAAAGAAGAGTAATTGAAAAGAGACAAACCGATGTACTAAATTGTATAATACATGTAGTAGATAGATTTTAAAATTTAGAAAAATAATTTAATCTTCTATTCCTCTCAAAGTATTTTTACTTTGATCTCAATATAAAATTTTATGTAATACTTTTCATAATTATTTGCAAAAATCATTTAAAACTGAGAAGGTATCATATGTACCAATGTCATTATGCAAAGTTCAACATGAGGGATTATATACTTCTATAACTCCTGTGTAATAATAGCAGAGGTAATAAATTAGCATCACTTCCTGTCTCCAAACTGATATTAGTTGTGGCTACTTGGAATGATGTAGTGAGAGGAAATCTGAGGCTACAGTAACCTCAGCAGGATTCCATGTTAACTCTTTCAGAAGAAGGATAATCTATCTAAATACAAATTTCACCAAAGGAAAGTTCATGAACATAAGCAACTTTTACAACTTCTATTAGTAATTCATTTTTATATTAATATTTCATTAATTATTGAGTACAGATACAATGTTTCAAACATATATAATAGAATTATTAAGTTCTTCAAGTTAATTTTTTTGGTTAATATAATTCTTTAACCTCACTTTCATATAATTAGCATATTAAGTAAAAATACTACTCTTGATGGGTTAAGAGAAATTTATACTGCATTTGTTGCTAAACAATGGAGAGAATATGAGGTTCTTTTCCTAAATCTGTAAATTTTTATAGACAAGACTGAAAAAGAAAGCCACAAAACCATTGTCACTGCATCGTGAAATTCAATTAGTCCCCTTTTGTTGTTTGTGCTTTTGTATGCCGTCAAGTGGGCCCCGACATTTTTAAATGGCTGATTAAAACAAGACAAAACAACAAAGATTATGTGACAGAAATTGTGTATGTCCTCAAAGCCTAATATAGTTACTATCTGGTTAATTAACACAGAACTTTGGCAACCCATCTCTATGTGCAGGCCCTGAAAGAGTAAAATTTTTAAGGTTAGAATATAAAATTTAGTTATGTATGATACATAGGTCAAAGCAACACATTCTTGGTATGTAATTTTAAAATGTTTGATAGGCATTTGGGAACATAATTCAACTAAAAAGCAATAATCAATCCCAAAGCAGAAATAATTTCTTTATATGTTTGAAAATATACTAAGATTTGAAAATTTTGGCAAGCAAAGTCCTACAAAATGCTTCTCTTATAATTTTAAGAGACAGTGAGGTAATAAGGAAATGTAAATTGAATATATATGATGTATTTCTTACACTTTATTTCCCTTTTAATGGGCTTGAACATGGCAACAATTGTGAGGATGGCATAGGACTAAGTGGTGTTTCATTCTGCTGTACATTGGGTCACTACGAACTGGAAGCAACTCAATGGCACCTAACAACCTAAGAACAGTATTTCTCTTTTTCTAAGAGAGGAAAATTATAAGGAGAATTAGTGAAAATTACAGTTAAAATAGCCAAGTAGAAAAAAATCCATCTCTTGGTTAATACATGGAAAGCAAACCCTCATCTAAAATTACTACATACATCATAAGCTCCAGCTTTGATCTGCTGATAGAGTCTGTGTTGGTCTTCATCCCAAAAGGGTGGATATCCCACCAGCAGAATATAGAGAATAACACCTGGAGGAAATTAGCATGGGAAGATAATGTAAGTCATATAGACAACAATAATTGTGGTTTATGAACAATGATATAAGCTGCATACATTAAAACAGAAAACTGGATTGCTGGAAACTTCAGAGACATATTATGAACCGCTCTAAAGCATTCAGTAGAGGGTGACTACTTTTCCTCCCATGTTCAAGACCTCTGATAATAGGTGGCAAGCAGTATAACACAGACTGAATAATTCAAAAGAGGCTTTGTTGTTGTTGTTGTTGTTATGTGCCGTCGAGTCAAACCCGACTCATAGCGACCCCTCCTTGGATTTCCGAGGCAGTATCACTACGGAAGTAGGATTGCCCAACCTTCCTTCCGAGGAGTGGCTGGTGGGTTTGAACCGCCAGCCGTCTGGTTAGCAGGC